GTGGGAACAGGCGATACAGTGACGTATCATAACAACAACATGCGACATGTTATGGGCGCCAAAGTTTTAGCGGGCAGCATTAATGCTGTGATGTAGTGTGGTGAAAGCTGTGTTTGGATTGCAGTAAACAGGTAAGTTAATATTATTCGTGCAATAAAAGTGCAATATGAACATAAATAATGAAAAAGGAGCTATTAAAAAACGGGAAAGATTTTTTTGTTCTGCATGGTTAAAGGAGGATATTTTTAAAGGATGGTTGGCTCCCCATCCAGAAAAAAACAAAGCTTTTTGTATAATATGTAACAAGACCATCAGATGCTGCAAAACAAACTTAGTGCAACATTCACAGACGGTTTCACACATCGAAAAAGTCCATCGTCAAAATCAAAGCCTCGAATCAAGTATATTAACAGAGAGAAGCCTGAGAGCGGCCACGGCCATAAGAGTTTCTGTCATAGCTTTTCGTGGACATGGTTCTATTCCGTGCTAAGTTTGTGGACATGGTTCTATTCCGTGCTATGAAAACACCGACGTGGTGGGGATACGCACATAAGCGAGACCGTTGTCCGTGTGCTCTCGTGGAAGTGTGCAGACCACTGAACTCTATATACACTAGAATGCGCATCAAGAAAAATTCATGGCACAAATTGAATAGCGCCATGTTTGTTTGGCCTGGTATTTTAGCAAATCAGAAGCGTGTTCTGCGTTCCGCTACAATATGAATGACGGAGATGAAAAAGTACCAAAATAGAAAAAGTTTATTCAGGAGTTTGTAGTAATAAAATTACATAAAATTATAAATATTTATTTATAATATTTTAATTATAAATATGTATAAAAAAGCTTCTGTTCGTTAATACAATATAAAAATTAATTTGCGTATTAATGCAATTTAAAAACCTATTTTTTTAATGGTAAAAAAAGCACGAAGTACACGCGCGCTAATTGCAAAATATAATTATATGTTATGTTGCAAAATAACCTAACGATTTTTTTATTCTACATTGTTAACACATGCAGAAACTGATATATTTAACACCAAAATCCTTACCTATAAAATGAAATCCCCTTTTTACTTCTCTGCCCACATCCGGGCACGCAACACCTCATGTCACTAATATTACAGATGTTTTTCACATATACTTATACAACCGTAACACGTTTCTACGCGTGCTAGGAGAATGCTTCTGATTCATTGTAGCGGGACGCGGAACGCACTTTTGATTTGCTAAAATACCAGGCCAAACAAAAATGGCGCTGATCAATTTGTGCCACGTCTCGCATATATATAATACTTCTATATTGCTAGTACGGTGCCGACCTGAAGTCCAAATGTTACGGTGCAGACAATATAGTAGCCTCTCTCTCCAGCTGCTTTGTGCGCATGCGGTGAACATTCAAGCACGTTTGGGCATTTCTCTTTCTCGCGTTCTTTCCAATGCTTTGTCTCGCTCGCACTCGCTTAGTAGACGCGCTTGCGCATAATGACGCTCGACTATCTATGCCCATATTTGGACTTCGTGCGTCTCCCTTTCTCGGGCCTCGTGCCTCTCATTGCAAAGATACGCGACTAGCCACGACTGACGTCTCGCTATGCTTGTTAAGCGAAGATGCGCATTCCAGTGTATATAGAGTTCAGTGGTGCAGACATATTATGTTGATGTATGACGACGGTTCTCGCTTGTGTGCGTATCCCCACCACGTCGGTGTTTTCATAGCACGGAATAGAACCATGTCCACAAACTTAGCACGGAATAGAACCATGTCCACGAAAAGCTTTGACAGAAACTCTTATGGCCGTGGCCGCTCTCAGGCTTCTCTCTGATATTAACATCCGTAGAAACTTGCCATAAAGATAAAGTTAAACGCGCAGAGATAAAATTATCAGCATTTTTTGCTGAGCATAATGTTGCTTTTAGAACAGTAGATCATTTTGATCACAATTGAAGTTGTGCAACATCTCTCACTGGATCGAACTAAGTGTATTGAAATCGTTAAAGAAGTCCTTGCCAAACGCGAAGTCGAAAAAATTGTTCAAATTTTGCAAAGTCGTAAATTTTCTATTTTGATTGACGAGAGTACAGATATTTCTGACACAAAACTTATGTGTCTACTTGTTCAATATTTATCGCCCTTAGATAAAAAAGTAAAAACGCAATTATTAGAATTATTGCCATTAGATGCCACAGATTGTTCCGCGAGTAATATTTTCAAAATTTTTAAAACGTTTTTAGAAAAAAAAGAAATTCCATTGAAAAATATTGTTGGTATGGCAAGCGACAATGCATCAGTAATGATAGGATGCAATAATTCCTTTTTCTCGCGTTTAAAATCAGAAATACCTAACGTAGTTTTATTTAATTGCATATGTCATACATCCGCGATAATTGCTAGTAAAGCCTGTGAAAAATTGCCGCAAAATTGCGAAAATTTATTTAGAGAAGTTGCTACTTATGTTTTGAGCAGTGCTAAGAGATGCCCAATATTAAGCGAATTTCAAGATTTTTTTGATATTGAAAGAAATAAAATACTAAAATTATCTAACACGCGGTGGCTTATATTGCATAAATGTGTAACAAAACTTTTGCATAATTAGGATGTTTTAAGAAATTACTTTATGTTAGCTGTAGTTGAAGATAATTTACAATCGGCATAAATAATTTTAACTCAATTAAATGATGATTCCATTAAAGCCTATTTATTATTTCTAAAATATTCGTTACATTTTTTTAATCATTTCAATGCGTTGTTTCAGTCACGTAAAATATTAATACATAAATTATTTATTAGTAGTCAGCAATTAATTAGTCAAATAGCTGGAAATTTTATAATCCCTTTGAAGGCTTTGAATGACATTACAACTTTTAATGACAATGAACATAACATCCGACAATTGACTGATATGTGTGAGACCGGAATGTGAAAGCTTGTTGGTATCACAATCTTTTGAATTCGCGCAAGAAATTAGATTAAATTGCTTAAATTTTTATAAAGTCGCGCTTAAAGAAATGATAAAACGTTTGCCATATAAAGAAATCTTATTTGAAGAGTTAAGTTTTTTAGAAGCCAAAGGTGCACTTTATAATGAAGGTAGATCAAAGATTAAAGATTTATCAAATATTGCCACGCGTGTAGAAAATATTGATTTAACTAAATTAGCTTTCGAATGGAGAATTTTGCCCAGGTTTTAGTAATTCCAAAAAAATAAATTTAGCTTTGTTAGAAATTGATGAAATGTAGGCAAAAATATTAGAATTTGAAGATTTCGACGGGGAAAAGATGTTTCCAAATTTAGAATTGTTAGTTTAAACCGTTTTATCTTTTCCTCACTCTAATGCTGAAGCTGAACGGATATTTTCCATGGTAACGGATATTAAAAATAAAAAAAGAAATCAATTAGCTAATAGTACTCTTTCCGCGATGTGTATTATAAGATCCAGTTTTCAGAGCGAAAATATTAATTGCACCAATTTTGAAATAGACTCGAGACATTTAGAATTACACACGTCATAAAATTTATATAAAAAAGAAAGCAGTTCTGATGGTACTTGATTACTTGATATGCTTCATTTTTTGTTTTTTATTATTATTAATTTTATTTTATTTTTTGGTTATTTATTATAATTTTTTTGCAATATAATTGACCGTGCAATATAATTAACCATTGTTTTCTTTTCAGTTTATTACACATAAATATTTATATATATTTGTATATGTACATATTTCTATGTTTTGATTTAAATTTTATTATGTAAGATTATTTATAAATTGATTTCTGTGATAAAAGTTACTTTTCTCATTATTTTCTGTGATAATTCTAAGTCACTTGTTTTTTTAAATGATACAAAAATGTTACTTTCATTTTATTCTTAAATATATTAAACAAAGTTATTTTTTTATTTTAAAATATTAGTTATATTTTTAGTTTATAAATGTTTATAGATACATTTATATATTTTATTATATATTTAGATTATTAGAAACTGTTTCTAAATTGTAAAAAATGTTGTGTATTTTGTTTTGAATACTAGTAAGGTTTTGGGCACTTTCTCTTACTCTTGCAACAAATGGTGGTATTTTTTAGAATTTGTGCCAAATAAAATATTTATTTTTATTTAAAAAAAAAGTGTTCAAATTACATCTTTTTATATTTTCAACCCTTTTTCATATATCTTAGCTTATCTTTTATAATATATCGCATAATTCTTTTCTATTTTATAACTGCCATTTTTAATATACACAGATCTGTTAATATACTTTATTTTTTTGAAAAATAATAATTAATTTTTTTAATTCATGGAATGGGTGCCATACGGCATATCTTTTTATTAAACCAGAGAGAAGTCTGAGAGCGGCCATGCCATTGTAGTTTTTTACGACGGTTTCAACCGCTGGTTTTAGCCGTATTTCCACAAAAGTGGAACTCAAAGGCCGTTCTACATTAAACGCAAGTCGCAGATCACCTAACCTAACAATTAACACTAACAATTCGTAGACCTTTTTATAAAATTAATTTACTTCATACTTTTATAGAACTTAATTTATCATATTTTTTAACTTAAATTTTCTCTAAATTAAGCTATCTTTAATTAACAACAGTTGTTTATGCTTTAGTGTAACCAACTGTTGTTGTTTCTCTTTAAAAACATAAATAAAATAATTAAAAAATTATATCCATACAAGACTAGAACCTTTATAATCCTCTCGAGCACACAAGTCAAAAGTAATGGCCTTTTACGTTTAAGCATAGACTTATGTCCTATGCGCTTAAGGTGATTGGTCCCCCACCGCTTTTATTGTAAGAGAGAGAGAGAGAGAGACAACTACTCCGGCACTATCTCTATCCTTTAATGTTGTCTTCAACTTTGTCATATAAATGTTCCGTCTATTATATAAGTCTATGGCCCATATGCATCTTTCTCTTTCTAAGCCTCTATCGCATCCATTTATGCGCTAGCATAGGACTCGCACACTCTAGTCTTATATCTCTATGGATGAAACACGTTGTCTCGAGATACAGAGCTCAAGTCGGATCGGTCGCGCTCGCAAACGTCGCGCGTTTCTTCGGAGCAGTCAATCGATCGGAAGCGAATATGACAGTTGACGATCGTCGTTTGAAGATGAATTTCGACAGCGTGACTACAACACCAAAACGGGAGTCAAACGATTCGACGAGAGCACCGCTTGTTCGAATCTGACGCTTGACCGTATCGCGAGAGAATTGCCGGACCGTATGAATGATACACCGTCGCTGCTGCTCACGTTGAAATACAACATTCGAGATTGTAGCTTTGTACTTTCTCTTGAACAATCTCAGTTTTATCAACATGTAGTCAAATATTCCAAACATTTTTTTGTTCGACAAAGCTTCTCACGCGGATAACAGTTATTTGTTACCGAACGCCTTGATCTCTCGAGCGTTGAAGAAATCGCGATTGATCATCGTGCATCGCAACAACGACGCAACGGGTGTAGCAGCGGCTCAACTGCACGCCGAAGACGTGTCGTTCGTTAACGAGGTTGCTTGTATGCGAGTTGCAAAGGACACACTGTTCGTCGGTGGGTTGAACGACGCGACCTCTGGACATTATCGATACTTCATGGCGGTTAATTTCGCATCTTTCTATCTTCCGTCGATAGATCGCGAATACAAATTGTTTATGGAAACGTTCGCATGTGTGATGACCGTTGCATAATTGAAACGCACGTTTCTAGATCGAAACTATTTCCAAGAGGCTATGAACTTTGGTATTGTAAAAACAAATTTATCTTATATTATCGTAGAAACATTATATATTGCTGTTATCGTATCTTTGAATTTAACGGCGGATCTCTCACAATAAATGTGTATATTTGCGCGGTTGTAGAGGTAACAAATATTTTCTGTTCTCATCTCTACAATATTTGTCGATACTGATGTACGACTCAACCGACAAATTTGAAACAGCAAAACAGAGTCAAAGGCAGAGTAAAAGACATAAAGCCGAGAGACGAGGAGAAGGTCCGAATCCGCCGATAACGTAAGACGCTCGAAAGTTTACGCGCTCCGACTAAGTTTTTGTAATACAAAGTGTACAAGTTTTTTTTATTATTATTATAATTACATTATTGTTATTATAATTAAACATAGGACATTCAGATTATTTATTTATTTATTTACTTATTTGTTTGTTTGTTTGTTTGTTTATTTATTTATTTATTTATTTATTTAAATTAAAATCTAAAAAAATCCTACAGAAATTTCGGATGCTCGTCCGTGATAGACGCAAGTCATGTGTTAAAGAACGTGAGTTATACGAGAGAGAGAGATAGACGCAAGTCATATCGATGCAGTGAGTTGATGCACACGTTGTGAGAGACAGTCGCGAGTTCGTGTGTGAGTGAGAGAGAGAAAAAAGACGAACTGCGATAAACGTGCATTGTGAGTCGCGAATTGTGAGTAATTGTGAAAGAAGTAAAAAAAGAGTGGAAGCGAGAGACAAAAAAATGTCTTGCGAGAGAAGTCTGAGTGACTTCACAGAGTGATCTCAAAAACATTTTACGAGAGTTGAGAGCATCGCTAGTGGGCGTGAAAATTAATAGCAAGGATCTTAGAGGTAGATCCGACGGGCGATCAGACATAAAACATATTGACAAAGAGAAGCAAGCGACAAAATGAGAGCAATGCGAGCGCAAATTTTTGAAATGACGAATCAACCTTCTTCGGCGAGAGAGATGGAGGTGTGCCGACGAAAAAAAGAGTTGTTAGAGTAAGAGTTACAATTAGCTCGCCGAGAGATAGAGCTAATGAGAGTGAAGCAGAATATGAGGGAAAATAGACATGATTTTGGAGCTGTGAGCCCATCAATGTCACATACATCTATTGGACGGCCGAGTTTAAATATCATTGCTGACTCTTTGAGTCATTTCGTTGGCAGCAGCAATTTTTACGAGGTCTGGGAGAGATGAGTTAAATCTCTCAGAATTGTCTGAGAGATGACAATGAGCTGACCGATGATTTAGTCAGACTCATGATAGGCGCACGCCTCAAGGGAAGAGCACAGAAATGGTTCTATTCGAATTCTAATTATTCAGATTTGTCAGATGAACTCCTGAGCGAGATGAAGGCCATGTTCTTTCACGAACCCAGCAGAATTTATGCGAGAAGACAATTTAAGCAACGCATGTAGCGAAGAGATGAAACATTCTATGAATATCTGCATCAGAAGGTGATATTGGGAAACCGGACCAAAATAGAAGAAGCAGAGATGATTGAGTATATCATTGAGGGAATACCGGAACCTACCCTGATAGACCAGGCGCGAATCCAGCGTCTCAGAACTAGATCGTCACTATTGGAGACGTTCGAGAGAGTGACCTTGCGTTCGAGATCTCTGCCCAGCTGTGATCAGGATGCGAGAAAGCAGCGAAACAGCGTAAGCGATAAGCAAGGCGTGATTCAGGCAAAACGGTGTCACAATTGCGGCATGCAAGGGCATTTAGCAGTAGAATGTTCTTCAAAATCAAGAGGTGCGAAATGTTTCAATTGTAGGGAATTCGGTCACATCGCGGCGAATTGTCCGAAAAATGAAAATGCGATAAAAGAAATATCTCGAGGTCACTACAATAAATATTGCAAAAATGTCAAAATTTTAGATAAAAAGTTCATTGCTGTAATTGATACGACTAGCGATCTATCACTGATGCGCGAGGATGAATATCGGAAATTAGGATCTTCCAAAATGACCTGCGTATGACAGACCGCGTAGATTAGCGCCGTGTGACGATTTTGAATTACAAAGACTAATCGAGAAAGACGCTATAGACGACTTACAGGAAAAGCGAGTGCTACTGCGCAAACAAGCAAAAGCGAAATATCGGAAAAATTCAACAAAAAAATAGAAGGATCTACGGTCGTACGAAAAAAAAGGAGGAAAAAGGTCGATATATATCGAGTGGAAGATTGAGTGCATGTTAAGCAAACGAAAGCCGCTCCAAATAAAAACTTTATTTCTAATTTTCTAGAGCCCTACAAAGTGATAAAAGTTTTGCAACCGATTTGTCGTTGCAAAGGTCAGCGAACACGAAGGGCCGCGCATCATGAGCACGTCGGCCGATAATATGAAACAATGCATATCGCCTAATTATATAATTGACGATGATCATAGCGACAATTCAGTCAATTTTGTATATTTGCGCGATTGTAGAGGTGACAGATATCAAAAATAATAAATCTAGTGCATCGGAGGCCGATGATTAATCAGAATGGCCGAGTGTAGAAACAAAATTATCTTATATTATTGTAGAAACATATTATATATTGCTGTTATCGTATCTTTGAATTTAACGGCGGACCTCTCACAATAAATTTGTATATTTGCGCGATTGTAGAGGTGACAAATATTTTCTGTTCTCATCTCTACAATATTTGTCGATTACGACTCAACCGACAAATTTGAAACAGCAAAGCGGAGTCGAAGTAAAAGGTAAGTCGAGACGTAAAGTCGAGAAACGAGGAGAAGGTCCGAATCCGCCGATAACGTAAGACACTCGACAGTTTATGCGCTCCGACTAAGTTTTTATAATACAAAGTGTACAATTTCTTTTAATTATTATAATTAAACATAGGTCATTCAAATTATTTATTTATTTATTTAAACAAATTAAAACCTAAGAATATTTGACGAACCCGTAGATTCGATCTTTCGAGTGATTGACGAAAACGCGGATGCGATTTTGCGAGGTTACGACGATGTGTCTCGACGCGTATTGAGCGACCTCAAATAGCACGAGAGTACCGAATTTTTATTCCTCTTGGAGATCGAGGCGATCAGCGCAAACGAAGACAAGAGACATATCCTCGTTGTGCGTCTGCCCGATCCGTCTTACGTACCGGTTATATGTTCGTTGTGGGCGTATTATTTGGAACAGCTATCGCGTTACAAAGTGATGAAGGCCCGTTGACGCGGTTATAATTCGAGTGTACACGAGGAAAAAATGTACAAGATTGTGGCAAACAGTTTGTACGGATATTTGAAGCGGATTTTACGAGCGCAGCGTTATCTACGTGCCGTCCGTTACAGCGGCGGTTACGCTGCTCGCTCGTAAAACGTTTCACGAAACCACATGGCTTTGCGAAAACTGTTCCGTGTTACCTTGTGTATCCATTTGTCGAGTTATTTATAAAGATACGGACTGCGCAATCTTCGCGTTCGACAAATCCATACCCGCAGACCGAAGTAATGGGTTTTCGGATTTTGTAAACGTGATGTTTAGCGACAGTTGCGTGCGATTGGAAACCGAAAATGCCGAATCGTAATTGTGCATCATTATGGGACGTAAAAAATATTGGAAAATTTTGGAGAGAGGTAACGTTGTCATCAAAGGTTTTGAATGCAATGTTCCGCGATACGTGAAACATTTGGTGTCAACGGTACAACGCAGCGTTCATAAATTCGTACAATACGTTGTCGATTCCTCAATGTGGACGTATCGATTGCACGTAAATGAATTGTGTTTGTTTTTCGGTGCGATATACACAGAGTTACATAGATTTTACAAAATTAACGAAACATCGATGTTCGCGTTCAACGTAGCGTTGAACATTTGAGTCGACGGATCGAGCGTGTGCTCCGATTTCGTGAATCGTTGCGTCACTTTGTACGGATACGAATACGGCGACAAGGTTCGAGCCGTTTATGCGCTCGCAGATCCAACGCGGTGCGACGAAATCGATATGCGAATTGTTAACGAATTCGAATCGTCGTCGATGCGATTGAACTACTAAAAGTTTATTAGACGTTTCGTGATATATTTACAAATGTTGAAAGAAGAAAAACCAACCGACGCACATATCGCACTGGAGTACGCTATGACTCCGAAAAGCTTTGACGAAGAGTTGTTGGAGGCGTACCGTTGCTGGTTGCGTATGGAACAACGAGACGGTACGACTTTTTTTCGTTTCGGAGCGAAGAGTTCCCCGTTTGAGACGTCTATTGTCCAATCGCGCCGTTAATATTACAGTATTCTTTGATATTCACACATACATATGTATCAATGTCAAAATTCGTCTTCGTTGCAAGTTTTATATAAATTGTAAATGCAATGATGTGTGTACAGATAGACGACGTCGTAGCGAGACCAGATGCGTATCTCGCTCTTGCGGGCAAATTGGTCAATCAGACGTTTCTTCATTTCTCGCATGGAACATGAATAAAAAACGATAACGATGACACAGTGTATTTGTTTGAAAGTGATTCAACCACATATTCTTTCCTCTTCCCACCAACAGCAACGATGCAAAATCGCAACTATACAAGAAACGGTTACAAGGACACACATTGGACTCGAACGCTCGATGTCGCGGTTGGTCGATGCAAAATTATCGCAATTTTTTCGACTGGCAAAGATGCGTCATCGCACACTTTTGAAAGTATTCAAACGCGACGGTAATTTTATTTCCAATACAAACCGTTTTCAGTTGCACGAAAGCGATGAGCAAATCTATACCGTCGTTGCAAGCACTGGCTTGCGCTGTTATTGCGGACACGTTGAACGAATGCAAAGATGTGTTGGAACTGCATCTACCTACCTCATGTCATGTAAACGTTGCTTTATCGTGGCTCGACTTGTTATTGTGTAATTTACTGAAAGGTACACCTAACGAGCGCGATTACGATTCGTGCGCTAGTTGGTTACACAAACAATTTTGGAAGCGCGAATCCGAGTTTTTGGTCGAAGAATATTTACTTTTCAAATTGTACGTTCCTGTGTTAACGCAACTCGGATGGAGACCGGAATACTGGACGACAACAGAACAAAAACACATAAAACATACATCGTGCAATGCAATTCCTAATTGCAAATTGTGCCAGGGTTGCGCATTCAAAGTGTGGATTACACGCAGCATCCGATCAAACAACGCAGCTATGCGTACTATGATATGGAATGTCGAAACGAGATACGATAACGTCACATGGTCTGAATTTGTACGCCGTTACGTAATACCCAATGATACTTGGTGCGCTCGTTGCGAACGGTGGCCTTTGTTCGGTCTTACTCGGTCGTAAATGCGATTAGAGTTACATTGCGATACGAACGCTTGCTCGTGTGCATCAAGTTGCGTTATCGTCCACGGATAACCTCGCTTGAGATTGTTGCAACAATTGTGTCATATATTTCAATTTATGTATTTGGCTTTGGCTAAAAAACGAACGATTGACCATTGGCCTTACACGGATTGTTGCATATGTATCTCGGGTTACGACCGTTACAAAAGTCAGAGCTACGTATCTACACTGGAATATCGATCGATTGACAATACGTACTGTCAACGAACTCTTTGCGATGTGGTTACTTTGTTTGTATGTATCGCAACAAACGATTTTGACTAAGAAGTTTCGAAATACGTTAACGAAACTGAATATTGTGATTGCGTGATTGCGCGATTGACATCGGCGCGACGCGATGTCGCATTTGAAGTATTGGAGATATTGGTTTTTATTCAATCGAATCGTACGAGATTAAACATCGCGAATATGATAACAGTTGTTTCATAGTCAATGGGATTTTGGTTCCAACGAGTATAAAAGCGTTTCGCATTCACCGATCAAGCAGTTCACACCACTAGTTGTTTCGGTGCACTGTAACGAACATGGACCGTTCTTACGTACACAGAAGACACGTCGCTTGATTGGGTTACGTAAATCCGGACACGTATTATTCAGTATGGAATACGAAGCGATACATACCTACATTCGTTAGATTTAATTCAAATCGAAATCCAAATAACACGGAAATTTCTTCAAAACCAAAATGTGACATGGATACGTTAATGTTCACGTGGACATTTTATGCTCGCTCCAGATCTCACGACGCATCTAACGTCTTGATTGTCCAATTGATAACATATTTACAAAATATTATAGTTTGGAAGTAGCGAGCATTTGCAAGAGACGTTGGTAAATTGGGAAACGTTGAGAAGAAGAAACAATGTCCGAAAATGAATGCAAAGGAAACAACAGTATCGAAGTTCGCAACCGCGTTCGCAGTTGCGGTGGTCCGTACAAATACATAATAAACTCGAGCGTATACTCCAGCAAAGGTCAAACATGGATATCTATACGCGCTTACATTGGTCACGAAAAATTCAATATATTACCGAGTCGTCGCGAATTCGTTATTCGCGTCGCTCGTATGTTTTGTGCTGAAACCGGAGAGAGAACGCGTTGTCTTAAAGCGAAGCAATTGAGCGTGATAATAGCGCGTTCCTTAAAACATACGAGACGATGCAATAATCCATACTACAAGAATAGTCTCGTGGCCTGAGTGCAGAGGCTGCGGAGATCCCGAGTTCGAATCCTTATCTTTGGATTTTTCTGGCTGGTTTCCTTTCAATCAAATACATCTCCCCAAGGCGAAGCTTCTTCCGGAAGTGAACGCCCAGGGAGATCCAACATATCGACTGAAATGCAAACTAAATCGAGACCTCAAATCAGCTTACTGATACATCTTCTGGTAGCCTGGCAGAAAATGCCGGGCTAAAGGTGGTCGGTAAGCAAAAACCGGCGGGAGTCACAGAGGAACTCATAAAAACAGATCTAGGTGACATTTTAGGAACTTTCGTAGTCCTACCTGCTCCAAATATTATCATAGATGACATATCATATGCACATTCTTCGAAAAATAGTGCCAATAATCAATTTTATCATGAAGTTTTAAAATGGACATGCATTCTTTGTAGTTTAAGAGGGTACTGGATACCGACTATAGAAACTTGTAAAACGACGGTTTTAAAACCTAAATTTCTTTATTTTCTAATTTTATTTATTGCATAACATTAAAAGCGCTTCTACAAAAGCAAATAAATATAAAAAACTATATAAAGCTTTTGAAAATGAGTATATAATGCTTTTTTAACTCTTTTTTTAATTTATAATGATAGTATATGGTATCAGATATACATCATCACGAACTCAGGTTTCTTTCATCAATGAGATAGTCAAATCATAATTTGAATAGCTCATTAGATTTGTTTTTGTCGTACTTATGGCGCTTGTTCATTGTAAATATGTACATAAGCTTACAAATATTTCTACATACATGAATATATAGTGAGGTTATAAAAGGAAACTGTATAAAAAAAAATTTGTGCTGAATTTTGACATTCCAAAGAACAAGCGCCAATTCTTAGCACAATTTACTTATTTCTGGAGAAGCATTTTAGATTTAATGCAGTAAATACAACACCAAACATTATAAGAGAAAGTCGGTTTATAGGTCTCTATAATCGGTATCCAGTACCCTCTTAAAGTGCAAAGAATCATTTATGATATGTCTGCTTTATGGCGAATAATATTCAACATATACCAAACATAAGAGAAAGAAGGACAACTCTTCGAATTCTTAGCTTGCTCTAAACAATACAAGAATCTGTATAGCTTTTTCTTTCTCTTGATGATAACTCTTTATGATGGTAACCCATAATTAGAAATAGTTTAAATACAAGGAAAAGTGTTACTGTTACTTTACTTTTCAATATTTTTGCTATGCACTCAAAAAATGAGTCGGCGCTGGATATTATACTTTTCGGACTAAAAAAATGGAATAGGAAGATAAAAAGATGATTTTCTATGTATAAGAATTTTTATGCAGTATACGAATATCTATTTTACATCGTACATATCTATTTTACAATTGTATATTTTTTATAATACTTTTATTCTCAGAACAAATATTGTGTAGTTTCATGTTGTAATATATATACGTATACGTATAATATATATTTTAGTAATTGTATATATTAATTGAAAATCTGTTATTTGTTTTCATAGAGACGTGAACATTCTAGCAATACTAAATTGCATTATTAACAACATATATCAGCCTGTTTATGGTATGTTGTATGTTCTTACTTATTTTTTATACTTATATATAAAACAGAATTTCTGTAGTATTGACACATATGTATATTTATGTGAGTAAAAATATGTAAAGTTATATTGCGGTCTAGACCTGTAAGTGCTTTTGGTGTAACAAAAGAATAACTTCATAATATTAAATAGTGTTACATAATGTAAAATGTAAATAAATCACACAACGTGATAATAATATATAATTTTTTTAGATTTTAGTAACGAAATATCTTTAAGAAGATGCTGAATCAGCAGCTTACCAGCTGCTTTGTTGCTACGCTGTCCAATAGATGGTGCCTTCTATATAAGGATAGACGTATATCTCTTTTCTTGTTTCTCGTTCGGTTCGCCCGTTTGATAGTAACAGAGATATGCATACGTACGCGACTGTCTGCTTGTGTGCGTATCCTTCCTACTATCGTATGTGCTTCATTAGAAGATCTAACTATTCTTGTAAACTAGACAATAAAATCACATTCTGAAAGTTCCATTATATTCTGTTATGTCATCCGCTTCTCGGCCTAGTGCCTGCATATTTATACAATGCCTAGAAATTGTTCAAAAATAGAAAAATACGATCAAGTGCCCAGAAAGCAAGCTCACGTGATAATGACGATGATTATGAAGTGATTTTGATGACTACGACGTTAAGTAACAGAAATGATATGTTATTTTGACGTCATTTACAATACCAAAAGTTGACGTCGCCGATATAACATCAGTTAGATGTCGCGTTGACGTCATATATCAACTTATATACAGGATGTCCGTGAAATTTTGACACAGCCGAAGTATGGAGATAGAGTGAGGGAAACTGAATCGAAAAGTTATTTGCCATTTTGCGAAATTCGCAATAGTTATTGAGATATGAATTAATAAATGTGAACCAATAAGCGCGTGGAAAGCGATGGTCCTAACTCTGTAGGCGTGTATGATTGTTAGTATAAGATTAATGGCATATATCTGGCATATACATCTGTATTCGGCGGTTCGTAGCGAAGCGAGCAGCGCTCGAGGGGAGGTGAGAAGCCTCTGCTCTCCGCGATCAGCTGATCGACTATTATTGAAGAGTGGTGCACCAACTGGTTCATGATTGTGTACGAGACAATCACTCTCGCGCAATTGTTGCACTACACGGAGAATTGTTCGTTACATCGCGTCGATCAGCTGATCGCGGAGAGCAGAGGCTTCTCACCTTCCCTCGAGCGCTGCTCGCTTCGCTACGAACCGCTGAATACAGATGTATGTGCCAGATGTATGCCATTAATCTTAT